CTCCTCCAAGCACACCTGGCTCCGCAGAACAACATCATCCTCGCTGAATCGGATGACAACGACCTCGAAGACCTCGGCGAAGAAGATGTTAAACAGCAGCGGGGATAGCACACACCCTTGTCGCAANGCCAGTCCTTCTGCAGACCTCGATACGACGCCGGCATCATCGGCATATAGTATCCCCCATACTGCCTTCCGTACTCGGTCAATTGGTGTCTCCTTCCCCCCCCGCGCTTCCGTCTTCCTCTCCTCCAAGCACACCTNCCCCATACTGCCCTCCGTACTCGGTCAAGGGGTGTCTCCTCCGCCCCCCCGCTTCCGTCTTCCCCTCCTCCAAGCACACCTGGCTCCGCAGAACAACATCATCCTCGCTGAATCGGATGACAACGACCTCGAAGACCTCGGCGAAGAAGATGTTAAACAGCAGCGGGGATAGCACACACCCTTGTCGCAAGCCCTGTGTCACGAAGAAACAGTCCGATAGTTCTCCGTCGTCCATGCGCACCCGGACCCGCTTTCCATCGTGGAACTGGTGGATGACTTCGATCAGCTTCGCGGGAATGCCGGCCCTGGCCAGCACCTTCCATTGCATCTCTCGGTCCACCGAATCATACGCCTTGTTCAAGTCGACGAAGCACATGTAGAGCGGTCTTTTCTTTCTCCGCCCCAGCTCCTGGAGGCGGCGCACGACGAATAGCACGTCGACGGTGGATCGCCCGGGCCAAAATCCGCACTATTCCTCCGGGAGGATGTTGTTGGCTTCGCAGAAGGCGCTTAGACGGTTGGTGATGATCTTGATGGGGACCTTGCCTACGTGAGATAGTAGCGAAATCCCTCTATAGTTGTTACAGTTGGACCGGTCACCCTTTATGTTCAGCACCTTGATGGTTGCATCCTTCCACTCTCGCGGAATATCTCCTCCGTTCCTTCTTGTTCAGCACCTTGATGGTTGCATCCTTCCACTCTCGCGGAATATCTCCTCCGTTCCTTCTTGTTCAGCACCTTGATGGTTGCATCCTTCCACTCTCGCGGAATATCTCCTCCGTTCCTTCTTGTTCAGCACCTTGATGGTTGCATCCTTCCACTCTCGCGGAATATCTCCTCCGTTCCTTCTTGTTCAGCACCTTGATGGTTGCATCCTTCCACTCTCGCGGAATATCTCCTCCGTTCCACACCTTGACGAGGATGGTATGGAGGTGTCCCAGGACGAAGAGTTCGTCGTCATCGATCTTGAGCAACTCGGCAGGGAGGGAGTCATGGCCGGGTGCCTTCCAGTTCTTGAGGCCTTTCGTTGCCCGTGCCACCTCCTCGAGTTCTGGCACATCTCCCAACCGTTGAGTGTCACGTGTCGCTGGCCGCTGCGTCACTCGTTCGATGATGTCTGGGTTCAGGGTGGGGGATTTGGTGTTGAGTAGGGTGCTGAAGAATCTCGCCCACCGCTGGAGGATGTCGTCCCTGTTCCGGAGCAACACGCCGTTCTCATCCGCGACGAACTGCTGTCCCCCCGCTTGTCTCCCGCTGAGGCCCACTGATCTTTTCAGGTGTTGGTACAGTCCTCGCATGTCGCGGTCCTTGTAGATTTCTTCGAGCTCAGTCACATATCCG